AATATAAGACACATGTATGTAAAAGATACAACTAATTAAAATAACATAATATATTTTTAGACAATAATAAAATTATAATATATTAAAAATAAAGCATATTTTATAATAATATTAATAATAAGATCTAGCAAATATTATTTTTTTAATTAAAATTAAAATAGATCAAAATAAACATCCATAATTTTCACCAAACATCATTACATACATTAACATTCATAATACATAAGTTACATAACAAAAAACACACCAAGCTACAATCATTAAAAAAAACATTGGTCGTGTTCCACTGAACTCATTATTCAAGACACTTTGCGCTGTGTCGTACACATGTCTAGTTGTGTCCAACACTACCACGACACCCTCAAAAATTATACATGCTTTCTAGCCAACAATTGACCCACTATTTCAGTTTGCTGTTATTATGTGATATGTCTCACCAGTTAATGGGATATAGCAAGCTTCCATTACCTAAAAATGGTGATCTGGATTATTTTTTTATTGTATTCCTTGTGAGTCATGGAACATATGGCCAAGGAAATAAAGAAAGATAATACATTCATAAACCTAATTAATGTAGACACAACATATACTTTTAACACAAACCAATGTCAGCCCCTTTTGATTATATGCTCAGATCAAAAAAAAAACATAAAGATTTCAAAATTTTGATGTAGTCCATAAATGCCTGTAGAAACTCATGTGGGCTCACCTGGAGACACAAAAAATGTTAAGTATATGCATCTATGAACAAAAGTCATTGCTAAAGTTTGATTACACCAAAAACAAACCTATCCCTTGAAGTTCCTTGAGTGCCAATTTTTTTGAGTGAGCTCTCCAAATCAAAGCATGAGTGTAGATTCGCAGTGTAGATAATTTTTAAGGATAAGGTAACATTCACAAATTCAGTCTTTCTAATGTTATTGAGTCCCACCTAAAAAAATTCTCAAAGCCATGATATTATAATTAGCACCAGAGAACGGTGAAATTGGACACTTGATTGTCTAGGTTTATATTCAAAATTGTCCAAAATATACCAATGAACAACAAGAATGAAATGTCATAGTAATAGCAACAAATATCAAAACCATTAAGTGCCCTAGACCATTGCCTATTTCTATCAAGCTGCTAAACTTGCGTCCGAGTAAACCTATACAATAATATCAAAGAAATCAAACGAGGAGATTAATCAAAATAGGAATATAAACTATTAGCAAAGATATAAAGGGATAAAAAAAATCAGCTACATGTAAAAAGAAATTAAAGCTAAATATTAGCGAACCTCGAGCTAAGAACATGTCAAATGTCATCTAAAGAAGAGTCAATGACTTCATATCCATCGGGAAGGCAATAAACTTTCTCTCTTCGAAGATTGTGTAAACATGGTATCCTGCTTCAAGGCTATGAGTGTATGCGTGAGATTTCTGACCTCTTCCTTGGTAATACTTCCCACAGACCAAACACGCATAAACATTCAAATTTAAAAGAGAAATAGAACAAAACTTCTAAAAATCAAAATTCAAAACCTACAAACAAAAGCTATAAAAGTCAAATGCATTTGCAAATAAAAGCACATAAAGCCACTACCACCTCATGAATAATGAGATGTACTCATAAAGAAATTCAGTAAGCTCATGAAACAACTTCTACCTCTTGGAGTCCTCAACCATTGTATTTTCTTCTTCTTCTCTCTTTATTTTCGTTCAATTCACACATAGTCCAAAATTTTGGTGAGTTGAAAGTAATTGGAATATTAATAAGATTGTGGACAGATACCCACACATTGATACAACAAAGAGCCAAAATTTTGAAATATAACAAGGTAGAGAAATGAGAGAATGGAAGACAAAGATGATGATCGAGAACATGACTTTTTGTATCAACGGAGAAAGATTTATTTGTTGTGGGAGACAATGAGTTGTAAACGTTTTAAGGTTAATTTAAGGAAATTAAATATAATCAGTATATTAATTTAAGGAAATTAAATATAATCAGATGATCGTGTACTAGCATTGCTTGTTGAACAATGTAGCTAATCAATTTGATGCTAAGGGAAGATCAAAAGAAATAGTGGATATAATTGACTTTATACCAATAGTTAAGGGTAAAAATGAAATATAAATATTATTCATGTATCCTCACTTTTTAAGTAGTAAAGATATAGATATGACTATCAACATAAATAAGCTGATGGAAATGATTCAAGATCTATATGGTCCTAGCCTTCGAAGAACAGAAAGACCAATTTTTAGAAAGTCTACTATTGAGGACATTGGAAAGTTCACATTACAGTGTGGAGAAGTTGGAAATAATGAGAATTTGAAAATAAAATTATTCCCACAATTTTTAACCAAAACTGCATTTTCATGGTTCATTAATTTGCCAGTAAACTCAATTCAAACATGACGAGAGATAAAACTCATTTTTTAAGAAATGAACTAGAAGTGTCGATGAAAAACCTAACTAGATTAAGGCACAAACCTAATGACCCTATAAAACAATGCATCTACAGATTTAATATGCAAGAAACAAGTGTCATGCCTATGCTTGGTCGGACTAGAAACAAGTGTCAAGAATTTTAGGGGTGTCTATGGGCCGGGTTGGGCTATGCCAGCAAAATTTTTCGGGCTGGGCATAGGTAGTGTAGGCCCAAACCCTTACCATTTTTAAAGTTTCAATTGTCAAATTTTTTTCAAACAATTGGGTGGAAGGGTAGACAGGTTAGGCAGGCAAGCCCATGGGTTGGGTTTTTGCAAGCAGATTCATGGGTCAGATTTTCAGGTCGGATAATAGGTTTGAGGGCATGTCCAAGCCATCCCTTTTGGCTTGGACTTGGGCATGGGCTCAAGGAGACCAACTATTGAGTTTATCAGGCTTCAAGTCTATTTTTTCTAGTTAGATAACAGAACCCATGAACAACCTAGCCCATAGACACAAGTAATTTGTATCTTGAAGATGTGAAACTATACTTTGTGTTCCCAGTTATCTAAATCAACTTCATGAATCATAATCAAATGTGTTTTTTTGGGGGTAGATCATTGTAATCATATGTAAAATGTTAAAACCCTCATTTTGGAGTAAATATTCAATGCAACGGTGATACCGTGTCAATATCTTTACATGGTATCACCAATCAATAATAAAACACAAAATAGATAATGTGAACCCTACTTGAGTAGTTATTAGCTTATATGGAAAAAGAGTAGGTAATTATTAACTTATATGGACGGATAGTTATTGGTTTGTCTAGAGTCTATTTCCTTACTTGTTTACAAATTATTGACCGGTGATACCATAAAACAATGTTGGCGAAATACCACTGTTACATTGAATATTTTTTCCTCATTTTGAGGCTAACTTCCCTATGAACTGATATGGTTCGTAAATGGGCCGTGCCGGGCTCAACCTCAAGCCCCACAACTTGCTGACCTACTTGATCTTTGACCAGTCAACAGGCTAGCCCATCAGCCACCTGACCCAAAGTGTGAAGGCCTACCAAGGGCTACTCACAGCCCGCTATATGATGGGCCAGGCTACGCATTAGTCAGGTGGGCTTTTGAGCCATAGGGCCACCCATCGATGGGCCACAGGCTGTGTGCTAACCTGTTTTAACTGATCAACAACGAATTCTCCCCTCAAGGCTAGGCTCAAATATTGTTCATAGGATATTTTTCACTCACTGCAAATTTTGAATCATCCTTCGAATTTTTTTGATTTATTACATTATCATGATTTGCATCATAGTGCAGACAGTTGAGCTACGCAATCAGTAATCCAATCCCTTCCAGCATAGCTCTGGAAATGACTAGGACGAGGACTATATAATTTCCATTGAATGAGAGTTTGATATTTGTTTAATATTGCACTTTCAAACACCCCGATATCCGAAATTATCAAATATTTTGAATCCACCAAAAAGAATTGACATCAAATAAATCAAAGCAACTGACTAACTTTTCTTTGAGATCACCTTAACTGCACCCATGTCACAATCTTTTTTCTTGGCATATAAGTTCACCGATTTCAACCTTCACACTAGAGAACAACGTCAATTGCCTAATCATATCTGTGAAGACTACACACCCCTAATTTTTGTCATAAAATCTGAAAAATATTCATATTCCAAATACTCATATATTAAAGTGTCACGTTTATGTTGGGCACTACTAAGATGATCATCCATGGGATATTCATCATACATTGATGATTCACCATCCTCTTTTATCATAATTAGAGAATCATCCTCCAAATCTTCATTCAATATTGAGGGTATATCCCAATCAATTTCTAACCCTATAGAAGATGAATCGTGATAAAAAAAAAAAATACCTCTTCTAAGTGTGTTAAAATCTCGGATCTTCTCTAAAATCTCATCCATATCTACTAGACTCCCTTCCTCCTCCTCCACTAATCGTGGATTTTGAGGTCGTCGCTGTGATTGCTGCTGCAGTTGCTATTGTTATAGTTGTTGTTGAACAATTGTAGTCGATGATGATATATGTTGAATTAATGCCCCAAACTTTTGTTGCATCCTCACATCTCTCTTGTTGATCTTGGCATAATAGAGTTCCTTCATAGATCGTTTTCTTGGCGATATAATGATAGGAACATAATTGGGTTCTAATACCAACTGATACAGAAAAGTGAATAGAAAGAATGGTATAATGAACAAAAAAGAATAATAAAAATAAACCGTTGATTTGCGCACAAATACTATTTTAGATTCCTACTCTAGATCTATTAATTCACAAAGATTATCTGTCCTAAAAGCTTCAATAACACTGTTGATTCCTAAAAATACCATAATAATTAGAAAGAAAAGAGAACTCTCTCAATTGTATTAATTCATCCAAAGCTACTTAGCCATAAAGTTTACAAGAGTATAAATAGTATTGAAACTCAGAACTAGAATCTCAATTAAAGTAGGAAACCAAATAAAATAAAATAACATAATTTTCTACTTAAATTAGAAAATAAAATAAAATCGTCTAGAATTCCATAATAGAACGGCATTGACAATGTTCAATAAAATACTAAAAATCTCGCCACCCATACTGCATCAGAATATCACAATTACACGGAATGTGACCTGCATTAACCTATAAATTTAGCATGAATAGAAAAACGTGACACGCATTTCAGATCAACTCGGGTAAGCTTCTATACCTTAACATCAAATTAGGTCATGAAGTAAAATTCTCTCAGACAATAGTACATAGCTGAGAATATAACAAGTATGACAATAAAAGCCAAGGAACTGAGGCCTACCTGAACAGAACATGAATATAACCGTGTATTTTGTCCCATAATAAACTAAATTATACAGATGGAAAACAAACTGATCATAGGATGTGTGTCAAAATGTGATAAAATAAAGAAATCATGAATCAGGTTTCAAGAAAGTCCTCCAATTTCTTTTATGTTGTATGAGATTCCATTTTCCAAAGCAAGATACAAAACGAATATACATGAATGGCAAGCTAGACCAGTCCTCCGTCATGGTCCAGCTTCTCGTATGAAAAGGCATTTTTCTCGTATGACCACAAAAGGAAATACATGAATTGGCAACTTCAAAGAGCCCCACCTTTAGCAAGCAAGTTAACTACAGCTGAGCTGCCTAAGTTTCCCTAAGCCAGTAAGCAAGTAAACTACCTTTCCTAAACCTAAGTTTCCCTACCCAACTACGAGCTCAGCTCACTCGTTTACCCTGTAACTCCGTTCACTGCTCCAACAAAATCCTGTTTGCTGTATATGAGTCATTTTCACAATGAGTAGGGAAGGCATACCTTAACGACGCCTCAATGAAGTTTTCCATTAATGTGCAATAGGGCTCAACCACAGCCATTTTCCCTCGTTTAGCTTCCCTTTAATCTCGTTTTTAACAACATGAATCAATAACACGCCCGCAACAGAGAGTGAAAGAATAAGCATAAAAAACACACTATTCCATCCTTTAGTAGAAATATATCCAGCCAGAAGTGGGCCAAGAGCTGCTCCAACAGAGCCAGTACCATCTATAATTGCAGTCACAGTAGATAATGCACGGGAATTCCCTTTGATCAAGCTCTGTGTACCAAGATCAGCTGCAACTGCTGTTGTAATAAGTGCATACGGTCCATTCACAAACAGCCCAGAAATAAACATCAATAAAATATTGGTGAACATGGATATGCTCCCAAAAACACGGTAGAAAACTAGGGCAGGAATTGATAGAAACAAAAATACAATTGAAGTAACGGCACGAGCTTCAATAATATCAGAAATGTACCCTGCCAAAATTCCCCCAATAACTCCTCCAATATCAAAAATTGACGAAAGAATCCCAGCAGTTTTGTGTGACAAATGCACACCTGCAACAGCTGCCATTTCAACAGCAAACAAATGCATAATGAAGATCCACTTTTTAACCGATCAAAGGAGCAACCTCACAGTAAAAATTATACTCTTGTGATGCGTGACATACAACCAGACTTACATTGAATATTATTAATAATTATATGAAGACAACCAGTAACAAAGGGGGTTATTGCATATTATACAAGCAATCAGCAAATGATTTAGCAACAGTGAAAAAATGCAGATAGAGGTAATCCCAGAATACTAGAATTGGCCTCATACCACAGTTTGCTGGTGGTGTTAAACAATCAAGTCTTTTGGGTCCCCATTTGAGGCAATTCATGTAACAACCAAGTCCAATGAAAACTACGTCACAGCAACTCCAAAGGGAGTTGCCATTTTGGGGTGCCAAATCATTCATTTACAACCCTGAACAGTGTTTTAGCATCCCTTAATTATAAATCTGCTTAAATAGCAGGTGCCAAAATGGGGTGTCATTTTAATATTTTAATATTTTTTATTGCTACCAAAAATATTTTAACGGGTATAGTTTATTAAAAAATATAATTAAACTCATTTGCAACCTCTCACTTTCTCTCTTCAGAGTTGCCAAATATGTCACCCCAAGAGCATTAATGTCATTTTTCAATACTTGATGTCACCACCGTTGGAGTAAAAAATTTTGAATTTGGGGTGACATTTTGGCAGTTATGGCCCATACTCCTCATTTCACATTCATAATCATCTGCAGCAAAACTATTATCACAATTTGGGCAAGACTATTATGTCTAGTATAAATTTGTAGTATATAGATATGTCAAAGAAAAATTTTAACTAAAACAAAAATGTATAATCCAATTTCAAAGACAAATGCTAGGAGAAATTAGTACCTGTGTGCCTTATGTAGAAAGGCAACCAATACAAAAAAGTGTAAGACACCAGCTTAGAGAAGAAAAGGCAAAACGCAAATGGTGCCACCCCCGGCAACCTCCACGCTTCCAGAAACCCAATTGCACCCAAAGATTCCTCATCCTCAGATCCAGTAACTCCCGACTCTACGGATTCCATTGTCTCCGAATTTACTAAAGCCATTCCCTCCACATTCATCTCAACCTCTGTTCCTGGTAACTCAAACCCAACATTTTCTGGGCTCACAACAAGAAACAAAAACACCACAACTGCCACCAAGAGAATAAAAATTCCAGGCAACACAAAAGACCAACCCCACCCAAACCCCAAAGCCGCAGAAGCTACAACAGAACCAATAATGTTGCCAACTGATGTATGTGAACTCCAAACCCCCATTATTAACCCCCTTTTAGACTTCCCAAACCAATTTCCCACTACAGCCACAACACAGGGCCATCCAATTGATTGAAACAACCCACAAATCACCTGTACCAATACAAAAAACCAGAAAAAATGTACATCCAAAAAGTATCCAAAACCAAAAAGTATTGTAAAAATCCCACTACCCACCATCCCAGTTGTCAAAAAGACTCTCAAATCAATCCTATCACCAATATGGCCTGCAAAATACATCCCCAAAGAATAAGCAGATAAAAAAGCAAGATCAAGCTCACCAAGACGATGAGGTCCGCTGGATCCATTAAATGGGGCCCAACCAGTGTCAATGCCAACTGGATTTTGATCCAATTGAATAGGGTTTTGGTCAGATAGTGGGATTGTTGTGTTCTGGGTGGTAATTTCTGGACCAAGAATGGATTTGACTATGCTTGGGGGTTTTCTTGAGGCGTGGAAGGAAGCGTAGGCTGCGAAAGTAATGAGGAGGACTATAATTCGGTGGAAAGTTAGAGTTTTGTGTGGGGAATCGAGGGTAGGGAAGAGGGCTTGGCCTGGTGGCTGTGATGGAGCTAGGGTTAGAGTTTTGGATTCCATCATTTTATGATTTGCGTAATAAATGGTAATCAGTGTGTGTGTGTGTGTGTGTGTGTGTTTACCGAGATTTTGCAGATGAAGGAGATGGTGGTTTTGTAATGGTGGCTCTGTGGTGGTGGTTTTAGGACGAGAGAGAGAGAGAGAGAGAAATTGGATTGTTGCTTGCGGACGGTTGTCTGATTTCGTAGAGATCAAGGAACAGTTTGACTTTGCCTCGAACCCAGACGTGGAAAAACTGTAAATTTAACTTATGGAAGACAGACCAATCTAGAGATGACACGTTGTAGAAGAGAATTAGTGTTTTTTTTATGAAAAAGTGCCGATTTATTATTATTATTATTATTATTATTTTGAACAGCTGATTTACTATGTGTGATAATTCAGTAAATTCATTAGCAAATTTTGAGTAATGCTACTAAATTTAAATAAAATTTTAAAAATTTTAACTCAAATACATATCATCTCTTAGATGAACCTTAAAACCACTTATCCAATAGATAATATACATTTGGATTATACTTTTTAGATTTCATTTTTTTAATTATCTAATATTTTTTGCAAATTTTTATCACAAAATTTGATTTCCAAATAATGTGGGTAAAATCCAATCGTTATAAAATTTACATGTAATATAATAACAATAATAAGTTTGTTTTGCTTGGTCAAGAGCATAAAATTTACAAATTAATATACTCTCTTCGTTCCTAAATATATGTCGTTTAAAATTTTTGTACATGGATTAAAGAAACTATTAAATAGCTCTAATATGAGTAAAAAATAATTACGCAAGACTAAAATACTCTTATTCAATACGTATCGTAAAAGAAAGGAATATGAAATACACTTAACATCCACTTAATCTAATTCATTGGAAAGTTAAGGGTAAATTTAGAAAAAAAAAATATTAATTATACTTTGATTTTGTTAAACGATAGATTTTATGAAACAAAAAAATTTGTGTAAAACGAAAAATATTTAAGAACGGATGGAGTAATAACAATAATAAGTTTGTTTTGCTTGGTCAAGAACATAAAATTTACAAATTAATTAAATCACTTTAAAAACTTAAACGAGTATCTAAATATTGACCAACAAACATTTGATCCAATTGTACTCTCTATCTTATGAAAACTTTACATTCTTGAGGTCAAGGCCCAATGATTCAAGCATCCTGACGCCCCCCCGGCAAAAAAACAAAAAAAAAAAGTATCTGAATATAGACATGAAAATTTTGACAAAATTATACTACGTTATGATTTTAAAATAAAATAAATCTGATAAGTTTGGTCGTCTTCATTTAAAACATTTTAGTCCATATCATTGGGGGTAAAAAAACTTAAGCTGATGAAAAAAATAGGAAAAACTAGGACGAAGAGTTAAAAGACCAAAATACCCTCCCAGTCACTATCGCACCACCATTGTCACTCGTCCCTTGTAGTCACCACCACTTCCGCCTCCTTTACCATCACTGTCATTACTAAGCTTGTCAAAGGATTTAATAATGTAATACATACGAGCTCAATCTAAGTTCAAATTAGTTAAATATTTATACATATTTTTGATTGATAATTTACAAAACAATAATGTCATGTTCCATGTGTTTTGTATTTGAATCCACTAATGCATATATAAGAAGAAGTTGAGTAACTGTTTTTGTAAAATTAAGTTAAAACGAAATATCAATTTGCTAAAAATTTTCGATATTGAGTTATTCGCATCAACATAACTATATAATAAAACTTGCCAGTATTTAACCAAAATCTGATGATGAAATGCTAAGAGTTCATTGAGATTTATACAGCAATATAATAAACGAATTGATCCAGTTTAGAGAGAGACAATACCAAAATCACCATAAGAAAATTTTTAAAAAGAGCCCCAAAAAACATTTAGTACAACGAATGAGAGACGATCAAAACAGAGTTACCAAGGGTAGAAGAAACAAAAATTTCAGTCCAATCTAGCAAAGTAGTCAGTTCGTTTCCAAAATCAAAGGAGGTTTCCTTAAAATCTATGCAGATCCAATTTATCTGCTACAAGTGTGCAACAGCTGCAGATTTATGTCCTATCACACCAAAATTACAGCCCTTTCAAACTTATTGCTTTACAATGTGTCTCAACCCTAACCATAGAACGTCAACCCCAACCCAATCCCCCCCCCCCCCCAACAAAAAAAAAGGGTACTGAAAGCGGGCATATTAACCTCCATAATGTACGAGTTGCATTGCTGACCATTATCCCCTCCGGCATGATATCGCCATCTTTTCTTCAAAGTCAAGTTTTTTAACCTGTACAGTCAAATCATTTGCTTCTAAAATCCAGGGTTATGGAAACCGAATCCTTCCTGAAAAAGGTGGGGGGGAAAAAAAAAACCAAAAACAAAACAGAGATGGTGCTGGTGACATCGAAGAAAGGAGATTATTTTCCTCACTAGACTCAACTGAGATAGCAGACTACAAGATGAAGCTTACACCATGAACACCATATAGTTCAGATTGCTCAGTCAGCATCACCAAGTCCATCACTTCCATCCCCTCTCTTTGATATAGGAGCATAATGAGAGTTAGATTTCTTCTTTTGTGAAGCAATTTCAGCATTTTTTCGTAAGACTGCTCCAGGTGATGGGTAAGGGCGCTGCTGAAAAAG